TACCAGTAACTCTACAGTTATTCGACCAAATAGGGTAAGGAGTTAAACAATCCTTTGGTTCTATAATGATTAAAGATTAAAAGGTCTACTTCTGCCCGGTGTCTCAAGCCTGTAATCTTGGCTACTTGGGAGGCAGAGACGTGGAGAAGACAGTTTGATACCGGCCTGTCATAAAAGTTCACCAGTCAAGTTCAACCAATGGCTAAGCATGGCGGTGGGCCTGTCATCCAGCTACAAGGAAAAACAGCAGCGTAAAATGGGTAAGCATAATGGGAAACCCAACCTTGAAAATAATCAAGGCAAACAGGGGTGAAGGCATGACTCCAGCGACGGAATACCTGCCTGGGAAACAAAAGTCCTCGAGTTCAAACTTTAGTACCATAAACAACAACAACAAAACAACTACATCTGACAGCTACCAGCTGTACCATCTGGACATCCTGACACATCACTCTGATCTCTGAACCAGAAGTGTGGAGCCGGGTGTAATCCTAGCTACTCAAACAGCTGAGATCCTAGGATTCCCGAGACTTCTCTGTCAATTCATTACCAAAAAGGAGCCAAAAGTGGAGCTGTGTCGCAAACGGTGGAGCGCCAGCGTTGAGTGAAGCTGCTGAGAGACAGCGCTCAGGCCCTGAGTTCAAGCCCCAGTACCCACAGGCCTGTATGCACGTGTACATACATACATGCATGTGGCCACGAGGCCTACGTAGGACCCATCTGACCCCCAGGAACCTAATAACCCGGAATATCCCTCCCCCAAGGTGGCTCTCCTCGGAGCCATGGAGGGGAGGCGGCGGCGCACCTGTGCCCCCCTCCACGGGGGCACCGACCCCCAAGCGGGGCGAGGGGCCCGGATGAACACCCAAGAGCCCACCGCTCCCATTTGTTTGGTTCGGGAGCGATCGGGGCCGCCGAGGTCAGATAACGGGCACGGGAAGGGAAGAGGAAGAGAGCGTGTCCCTGGGTTTCTCACCTCCGCGGGCGCGGAAGGAGGGTGGTCGCTAGGTACCCCACTCCCTCCCCCAGGCGCTCGAACTTCTCTGAGGCTTGGCCGGCTCCAGGAAGCCACTAGCAACCCTTCTGCCCAACCTGCGGGCACAGAGCCTTTCGGGGGCATCCAGGCCTCGCCACCCGCCACAGAGAGACGCCGCGTATCCGGGCAACGGGGGCGGGGCTAGCAGGTCCCTGCTCCCGATTGGCCCGTACTCAGTCTCCGCTCTCGGTACCTTAACACGGAGGGGGAAATGCTCTCGCGAGACGCGGAGCCTCGGGGATGTTCCTAGTTGGTTCCCCTCCCCGACCCCTCCCCCCCCCCCCCCCCCCCCCCCCCCCCCCCGCCCCCAATTCTCATCGGTGAAAAGCGGGAAAAGGCAGGTTGACCAGAGAACAGCAGAGATCGGTGTGCGGCACAGCTCGGCTGTCTGGATGGTGGAGAGGAACCTGCTTGCGGGTAACCTTGCGGCTGCCGTGGTGAGCTGCGTGTAGTTTTGTAATGAGCTCGCCATGCCTTCTTTTTACCCTTGTGTGTGAAGAAGGATGTGCAAAGTGCTCTTTAAGGAACTACTATTTGGCGTTAGTTTGTAGCCCAGGCTACCTGTTACACAGCCCTGGGAACTGTCATTGCAGTCAGATTCCACATCACCTGACTCAGAAAGTATTAGTGGGGTTGTTCCCCTCCACACACACCCCCACTGAGACAGTTTACCTCAAATCCCACTTCTCTGATAAAACAGCGTTTACTTCCAACCCCCGCCCCCATTCATACAGGGAGCTTAAATGGTTTGTAAAGAAATTGAGATTTTATTTTGTACATCATTCACATCCAGGAAATTCACATCCAGATTTCTCCTGCATGTGCTTGCTTTCAAGAAGTTTAAAATAACACAATCCATACCAGACCTGGGGACAAACACACTGAAGAGGCTGAGGCAGGAGGACCCAGAATTGGAGGCTTGGAGGCCAGCCTGGGCTGCATAGCAAAACTCTGTCAGGTTCCCCCCCCCCTCCCCGACAAAGGGAAGGGAAGAAAGAAAGCACTCCAGAATGAAATGTCCTGTGGCTTGGTTCATCCCTTAAAGTTTGTAATTTTTCATGTAATTATCTACTTTTGAGCCTTACAGTTACAGTCCTTATGGTCTGACATAGCTCCTCCTTTACTTTTCTAGCCTTTCTATAGGAAATCAAAATGATGGACACAAGCTTTCGCAGATTTCCTTATACTCTGCTTGTTAGACATCTCACTCTAATTGTGTGACATACTCCCCAGCCACAGAGGTGAAACCGAGGAAGGACTTCAGGGAGTCTGTGTAAGTGAGGGTGATAGCCATAGCTGCCACATCCAGTTTAAGACTTCAGAGGTCATTCGACAACAACCAAGTCCAGCATCAGTGTTTTGGTGCAAGGATGTTGTCTAGAGGAGAACCTCTAGCCTCTTTCTTCAGCATCCTGTGAGCCACTTGGTGGTCATTAGCTATATTCATTTTCTGTTTTAAAATCATCCACAGATGGGTTCAGTTTTTCAATTAAGAACTGACAGAGGGGGCTGGGAAGGTGGCTCAGTGGTAGAGTGCTTGCCTTGCATGCATGAGGCCCTGGGTTCGATTCCCTAGCACCACATAAGAAAAAAAAGCCGGAAGTGGCACTGTGGCTCAAGTGGTAGAGCGCTAGCCTTGGAGCTGAAGAGCTGAGGGACAGCGCCCAGACCCAGAGTTCAGGCCCCATGACCGGAAACAAACAAACAAAAAAAAAGAACTGACAGAGGCAGCGCTTGATGGCATACGCTTGTAAATCCTGAATTTAAAATGCTAAACCGGAGTGATTTGAAAAACTGTAGCACCTGGATCTAGTCCTTTATCTTGATGGTCTTGAAAAATGAGTCCACAGACACAGAAGATTTATTGACCAAAAAAAAAAAAAGCCCAGTGAGAGCGTAAAACCCTGAGTTCAAGCACCACACACACACACACACACACACACACACACACACACTTTGGATGATAAACTTTGGCACATTAAAACTCAAGCAGATCAGCTCCAAGTCTGAAGGTTGTCGAAGTGGATGCAAGAGCAAAACAAAGAATGTATTGTACTTGTCACAATTGCAAATTCCCACTGTCTACTGCTCAGGAAGCCCAAGCAAGGAGTGCGTGGGTCAGGAGTTTGAGGTCAGCTTAAACAATATAGCAAAACCTCATCTCAGGAGAAAAAAGCTAAAAAATTATTTGGAGTCGGCACCAATGGTTCATGACTGTAATCCTAGCTACTCAGGAGGTTGAGATCTGAGGATCATGGTTCAAAGGTAGTCCAGGCAGGAAAGTCCATGAGAATCTTCAATTAACCACCAAAAGCCAGAAATGAAGCTGTGGCTCAAGTGGTAGAACATTAGCCTTAAGCAAAAAAGCTCAGCAACAATGCCTAGGCCAAGTTCCAGGAACAGCATATACAAAGAAAATTATATGGCTAAAATTTGAGCAGTCGCCTTACTTGTAATGTTCTGGATGGAAAGTTAAAGACAATAAAACTAGTGGCTAGTTGGCCACTAGTGACTGACTGCATTATTTTCCTCATAGAAGAACCCAGGTCATTAGAGCTCAGTCTAATGACCTCCATTTCTTTATTTTAATACACTACATATCACCCCTACTGTAACTTCCAATTATATATATATATATATGTGTATATATATACACACACACACACACACACATATATATACATCCTTATTTACTTTTGTTTGTAAAAGAGACACTTAAACATGTTCAGAACTGTATTTTAGCTCAAAAACTAACCAGGATGCTTTCAGTTACATGTTTTAAAAAGAAAGTTTTCCTTTTCTTACTCTCCTCTCCTCCATTTCCCAATGTTTGAAAATTCAAGAAGAATGTCTTTATAGCTCTGGGAAAGGTCACCATAGTCATCCCTTTATCTTGCTGATCTCAGGAGTGAAGAAACATTCTGCACAGCAAGGAATAAACAGGGCCTCTGGCCACCAAACAATTGGAAGTCATGTCTCAGTATATATAACCAGAAGCCCACACCAGAGAGCTTTCATCAAAAAGCCCTTCACTTTCCCCAGGGAAGACTGTTCCCTTCTTATTTTGCCTGACAAAACTAACAAGCCTTTATTTTCTTTTGTCTAGTACCCTGCTCTCATTATTTGTCAATTAGCACTGAGTTCAACAGACCCAATTTCTGGTATCATGTTATCAAAGACAAAGGTGGAATTTGATATAAGATTTTAATACATTGCAGAAGGAAGAGTGAAGTAGGAACTGAAATCTACACTGATTTGAACAGAGACACCATAAAAGTTAAAAGTATACACAGGTGAGGGTGTTTTAAAAGAAACATGGGAAAAAATAAACATGGGAGTAAAGGCAAGCAGATGCTCAGTAGAATCAGGGGCTCCAGGGTGACCTTGAACTCACTACATAGTCCAAGCTGATTTGGAACCTGAAAACTTGCTTCAGCCTCCTCGGCTCAATTTTCTGCTCTTTATAAATAACTCAGTCTAAGGTATTTTGTTATTGCTATTGCAACCCAAAAGTACCAGAAAACTAGGAAACGGAAGGATGAATGGGGGATACATAGAGGGAGAAGGACAAAAGGGATGACCCTAATTAAGATGCATGTTGAACAGAAACCCCTTTATACAACTAATTAAAGATAATTTTAGAATAAACCTTTCTTTTTCTTTTGGTCGGTCATGGGGCTTGAATTCTGGGCCTGGGCCCTGTCCCTGAGCTCTTCTGCTCAAGGCTAGTGCTCTACCTTGTGTGCCACAGTACAGCACCACTTCCAGTTTTCTGGTGGTTAATTGGAGATAAGAGTCTCATGGAAGGGCAAATGACATAGCTAGCAAGATCAATAGAAAGCCCACGGATTGGGAGAAGATCTTTACTAGCCATACAACGGACAAGGGTCTCATATCTAAAATAT